GTGACCCCTGTGAAAGGGGTCGTTCAACCCCCCGAAGGGGTCGCAACCCACAGGTTGAGAAGCACTGGTCTAGATAAAGAGACAAGATCCCCACACACGTAACCACTGTTAAGTGTACCCCTCTCCTTCCAGTTGATAGAAACCAGGCGCCTTGACCTGGCCTTGTGAGTCCCCAGGCTCACCTTTCCAGCCTCTCCTCCCAAATTCTGCAAGAGGGTACTCTGCTCCGGCCAGACCAGCTGGCCTATTCCACCGTGTCCCTTGCAACGTCCTAATTGCTAGTCAACGGAACCGTCTCACTCTCTTCACTGGTGCTAACATCTTTCCTGGCCTACGACCCACACCATGAAGCCTTCTCAGTCATCCTGCAGTAGCTTCAGCCTCCAGAAAACACCTCTGCGTAACTCAGCGCGTGTTTGCCGGTGGCTATCTTCGCATAAGTACCATCACTAGTTATCTTTCCATATCAATTGTGCTATCTCAGCTAGACCGTCATCCCCTGGAGAGCAGTGGCTATTTCTTGGATTTCCTGGGGTCCTCAGTACTCCCACCTAAGGGCTCACTGGTCAATAATGCTGCTACCGCCCATGCGTCTGAGGACCCAGGTGAAGCTCACTGTTTATCCAATAGTCTGTCTCTCACACAGGCCTGGCCGCATCCCCACATGCTATCCGTAGGCCTCACCAGAGCTGGAACCAATCACCTGGTTCTGCTGCCTCTCTAGATGCACCACTTCTCCCCGAGAGGACTCACGTGTGACCATCTTGATGGAAGCATATAATCTGAAAGGACATTTATCTCGGTTCTCCAATCTCCCAGAATGGGGAATTAGACCAATGGATCTCTCCTTTCCAGCTCCTGGAGGGAATGAGCACCATCCAATCCCTAGTTAGAACACGATGCCAGCTTTCCCAGGGCCGAAGAGGCAGTGTAGCCATTTTGCAAAGCACTAACACACATGTTCCTGAGCTGTGCTCCTGCAGTAATTAGTGTGTGAGCCCAAGCAATTATACACGACCTTCGAGCCCTTAGTAATTACCCTATGAACTTACCAATGATTCGTGGCAATTAGCTGGGAGCTAATTTGCACTCTAAAGTTCCCACTGGAAGGCAGGGTTCACCCCAGACCCCAATTCCTGCCAGGGCTGCTATCTCCCAGGTAATTATCCTGACGGGGCTTGGCCATATAATTACCAGTGATGACTTTTCAGGTCTGGGAAGTGAGATTAGTGTACCCCATCCCTATGCCAAAGCATAAGACTCTATCATTTGATTCTCAACTATGATGGAGATATATGTATTTGGTGGGGATAAGAATGAGAATTTTCTTGCCAAACCTCTGTTAGCATTATATAGTTACTGTATTTTTATTGTGAGCAATAATAGCTTAATCCCTACAGTCTGTTTGTGATACTCCTGCGTTTTAGTGATCCCTCACATCCTTCCTATAGTTCTAATGTCACCTGGCCCCGTGATAACCCATCGAGTGGCCAGGGGGCAAGCATCCTCATTTTACATAAGATAATCTGAGATGATGAGGTTCTGCAAAGCACAGACATGAGCAAAACCAGCCAAGCCAACCCAACTTGGGAATGCCCACGAGCCCCGGCAGGGCCTGGCGGGGCGGGGCTGGGGGCAGAGCGGCACTCACAGCACCACAAGGCTGGTGAGATTCTGGAAGGCGTAGTCCGGGATGTGGCTGATGTGGTTGAGGGCCAGGGTCATGGCCTGCAGGGCAGGGAGGTTGTTGAGGGCCCTGATGGGGATCTCGGTGAGTGCATTGTCATCCAGCCACAGGTGGCGCAGGGAGGACAGCCCCTCAAAGCTCCTCTCTGGAACCAGGGAGATGAGGTTGGCATCTAGGCGCCTGGTGGAAGAGAGGACGGAGAGGGGTCAGTGAAGGGCGGGGGAAGCAGGCCAAGCCTGGGGCTTCCGTGTGTCCTGGACTCAAGGTGCCCCCGCTTATACTGAATCCTGCGTCTTCAGTTTTACACATTTGGCTTCCACGGCAACCCACACTGGTCCCCGGGGTCCCGTTTCCCTATTTATGAGTCCAGCCCTTCCTCTTAGACTTGAGATGGAATCCATCCATGGCGTCTGGCTCTGAGGAGCCCCTAATGTCTTGCATTTCCAGAGCTAAGCCGTGATTCCCAGTGCTGGGTTGGGACAGCTTTCTTCCTACATGGGCTTCTTCAAAGCCATGTAATGGAGGTGTTCTCACCGCTGGCAAGGAGAAGGCCCCCCCCTCCCCCCCCACACACACACACTCCCGTGGACTCAACTAAAGAAGATGGCACTCCAGAGATACAGTCTTCAGGAAGGTACCCTGGCACCACCTGCTCCCCCCAAAGACCCAGCAGTTTGATGGGGCTTCTGCCAAAGTCCTGGGGCTTCTCAGGCAGTTGATGTGCTCTGGGAGATGCCTCTGTGCCACAGCTCATGTCCTAGACATGCCACCACCCAGGACAGGTACAGAGACAGTGACCATTCTTTCTATGTACAACCAGAGACTGAGTGACATGAGAACATCTGTCATGAGTTCCAGTAGCTCTTGGCTGTCGGCAGAACAAGGAGAGTGCCCACCATAATATTTTATACCCCCGCCTGAGCCATCATATCATTCCAATAAGACGCGACTGCCTCCTAGTTTGGGGCGTGGGCTAAAGTTTCATCTCCCCGTGCAGCTGGCTCGGGGAACCCAGACAAGGTGGCCAGTGGCCAAGAGTCTACTCCAGGCTTTACTACCTGGGAGAGAGGCTTTCTACTGAGTCACGGCTCTCCTAAACAGACACGTGCCACCTAAAGCTTTGGAAACTCCAGCCCTCATGCACAAAGCCCACACGCTCCACAGTCCAGAACACAGAGGATGATTCTTGTATCTGGGTTGGGGGTTGAGGGGACATAGGTCACATCTGTTCGTCCCGGGAGCACAGGCCAAGCTGTGGACAGTCCAACCCCATGTCTAGCTGTGTAGTACGTGGTAGAGCTGGGATTCAAACTCACACAGCCAGGCTCCAAAGTACACATTCCCAACCACGGTGCCCGATCAGTGGCAACTCCATGGTCACGCTGTCAACGTGCCCCACTGGTTTCTATACCAACCTGGGACACTCCCATAACACCCTACTCTACCCTGTCACCAGCATCCAGCCACCACCATCTCCACCCCCACCCCAGCTGCCTGGGACCCCCTCCCAGTGAGGAGGCCTGAGGCTACACAGCGTCCAGCAGAATCACCCCGGCCCACTCATCTCCCACCCTGCTGGGGACACCGGAGCCTCCACTGGCTCTCCCTCTAGGTTTGTGTCCTCTGTGTGGCTCCCAGGCCATCAGCCTCCACATGCAGCATCCGGGACCTGCTGACATGAACCTGGTTTTGACCCAACTCCCCAGATGCTTCTGCATTGAGCAGCAGATAGATGAATGTTTCTGAAGCTCAGGACCACACCCAGTGTTTTAGACCCTCCGATGCCCCCCTAAGTGACCTGGCCCAGCTGGGCCCAGGGGAGGAAGCCTCCTGGATAGCTGGAAGCCTCCCGTGGTGATGGTGCCCTTGGTCCTTGGAGACCTTGTTCACGAGGTTGATCATCGACTCCCCGGGACCAGGATTCCACAGCAACCTCGTGAGCCTGCTATGACAACAGCAGTGAAGAATGCCCTCCAAAGTCCTGCTTCCTGGCCCCAGCGAGGCCGAGCACACAGGTGAGTAGACCCACCAGGACCCCTTCCTCCCAGGGAGTGCCGGGCACCCAAGGCCTCATCCTGTGTGGTGAAGACTCCACGCTCACCCGGAAGATGCAGGGACTCTCCTTCTGACTCTGAGGGGGCCCCTCGCACTGGGGGCAGCATCTCAGTCCCAACTCCCCAGAGACCACAGGCAGAGATGCCTTAGACCAGTGATTCTCAACTTTCCTAATGCCGCGACCCTTTAATACAGCTCCTCATGTGGTGGTGACCCCCCCAACCATAAAATTATTTTCATCACTGTCATTTTGCTACTGTTATGAATCGGACGACCCCTGTGAAAGGGTCGTTCGGCTCCCAAAGGGGTCGCGACCCACAGGTTGAGAACCACTGCCTTAGACCGAGGGCCACTTAGCACCACCCCTAGGAGGTGGCCTGTGAGCTGGCCTTATGAGGCGGTGGATTTGGACAGGAGAGGTGGGTGGGAGGTGAGACATCTAGGATCTTATCTCCTGCCCCGAGGCAGAGTGGTGCAGAGTTGGCATGGAGAGGGAGGAGGGCCCAGATTCAGACAAGGCCCGGCAGCCGACAGACGTGGGAGCCAGGGCAGGGCTAGGACTGGCATGTCTAACAGTCCTGGGCCTCGCTCTCAGGTAGCTGCTGCCCCACAGGGTGAATTCACAGACCCAGGAAGCCTGATTCTCCAAGGTTGGGGTGGGGGGGGGGTGCCCCCACCTTCTCTGAAGCCCGGCTGGAGCAACCCTCCAGTGACAATCATGACACTAATAACTATCACTGATTCCACTCATTGAGCCCTTGTCCTGTGCCACACACAGGGCCAGTGCAGGTGTGTGGCCCGCATCCTCCCAGTGTCACCAGCATCTCCATTCACAGAGAGATGAAGTCACACAGCTAGCAGGCCACAGAGTTGGGATTCGACCCAGGTTATCTGAACCCCAAAGCAGCCCATGTGCCTCACCATCATGTGATGCTGGTACTGAGGGCAGGGAGCAGAGTGCCTGCTCACCTATCAGAGAGAGCCTGGAAAACCAGGGCCGAGGCTGTGGGTGCTGTGAGGGTGGGTGCCCGAGGCAGACCGTGGAAGGTGACAGGAGGCAGATGGGAAGCAGGATAAAGAGGTGAACATTGTCTTGCTCTCTGAGCTCAGGGGGCATCAGGAAACCGCTTCTTCTGCATAGGTGTGCATGCATGAGTGTACTGGATGCCTGCAAACATGCATGTGCATGCTCGCAAAAGTGACCGTGTTGCTGCTGAGGTCAAAACCAAACCCAGACTCACTGTCATTGAGTTAATGCCAGCTCATAGCAACCCTATAGAACAGGGTAGAGCTGTCGTGGGGTTCTGAGACTGGACCTCTTTATGGGAGTAGAAGCGTTTAGGTGGTGCCGGGGTCAAGTGCAGTGCTCAGCCGCTGACAAAAGCGAAGGTCAGCGGTTCAAACCTGCGGGAGTCTGCTCCGGTGAAGGATTCACAGCCTTGGAAGCCCACGGGGCAGTTCTACTCTGTCCTCCGGGTGCATGAGGAATTGGAATCCCTTGACAGCAATGGGCTCCCTGGGTGGTCATCTTTATGGGAGCAGATTGAGCAAATGGGAGGAGCCACAGCTCCAACTCTCTGATGGGCCGCCAAGTGCATAATGCCTGCCCACCAGTGGAGGTGGGTTCAGGTATCGAACTCACCTAGCCAAGGAGCCCTGGCTGTAAGCTCTCCAGCAGTTGGTTCTACTGCACAGTCAGCTGGGGTCCCTCCACGGGCTGCTCGGAAGAAAAGCCCAGTGTCCGACTTCCAAAGGCCCAGTAGCTCTGTCCGGGCCCCCGAGAGGCTGCCATGACTCCGGGCTGACTCGTGGCAACCGCCTGGCCTTTTCATCGTCTGACCGCCTGCCCAGAGATGGTTTCAGGCGCAGCATGGACAAAATGCACAGCGCGGCGCCTGCTTCTCAGCACGCCGTCTCCTCCTCTCCTCCTGACAAGCAGGGGCCCTGAGGACCTAGAGGAGGAGCTGGGTGTCCAGCAGCTGTAGGTCCTTCTGGTGGGTCTGTGTGAGGACCAAAGATGCCAAAGAGCCGGAGTCTCTGAGGAGCCCGCAGAGGAGCGGTGGAAAGGGGTGGCACTAGCTTCTACTTTCTTCCCTTCATCCTCTCAGGGAACCCTCACCCCCTGGGGTCCCCGAGCTTGAAAACCTTCCTTCTCTCTCCCCGCTCTGCCCCTGTCAGGATGTGGGTGTTTCCAGCAGGGCCCCCCTGTCCTCTCGGGACAGGGTCTGGGTCCCCTGGGGTCCCATTCCTCTAGGGTAGGTGAGTTCTGGGCTCCCCTGCCAGCAACCAGCAGACTCCACCATTTGGGCCTAGAAGATCTTTTGAGCACCTCTCGGCTCCCCCCACCCACCCAGGTGAGAGAGCCAATACAGAGAGGCTTGGGTTTGGCAGGAAGAGGAGAGCAATTATACCAATTAAGCTCTGGAATAAAGTCAACAACCCCCAACAGCCCTTCTCGTTCTCCCACGTGGGCCTGGGCTCCTGGAGTGATTTCTGATTATAATTCTTACCTGCGGTAATAGGGCAGATTAGCAAGGGCCTCACAGGCCAGTCGGGGCTTGCTTAGGCTCTGGGGAAACAGGGAAACCTCTCTAGGGCCAAGCTGCTCTCTGACTCTCCCAGCCTAGGCTGGAGCTGGGACATGGGGAGGGGGGGGGGCGTCAAACAAGGAGGCTGCTCTGAAAGTCAGCTGGCCTAGGGTACTGGGGCCTGGGGGCCTGGTACCCCCCTGCCGATGAGGATCTAAGAGGGAGCAAGTGGTCACAGAGGGGATTTAGGTATGAGAACAACTTGCTGTTCTTGAAGGAATCTGCCAGCTTTTCTCATTTTATAGCAGGAAGCTTCCCTTCCAAAGAGGTAGACAAATGCCCAGAGGGAGTGGCTGGACTAGGGCTCAAATGTGGGCTGCTTCTTACTCTACCAAGACGGGATGGCGAGAATGACAGAGACCCAGCTCGCCCCCCAAGGACCACATGGCTCTAATGGACCCGCTCTGGGATTCCCTTCTCTAACCCATCCTAGGGCCTACCAGATCTCAGTCTAATACAAGACAAGGAGAAAAAAGTTGGGGCTCCTAGTGGACCAGCAGATACCAGGTATTCTTTTCAAAGGCAGCCTGTGCTTGA